CGCCTTCCATATCTTTCAAAACTGCCTCAGCTTTTTCTTTAAGCCCGCCAGCAGCATAGTGCTTAGCCAAGGTGGCTTTTACAGTGATGTCTGGCTCAAAGCCTTCAGCCTTCATTGTCTCATAAACTTGATCCATTCCAGTCATGTCATTGCACTGGCCTTTGGTATCTATTAAGAGTTTATAAGTAAAGGCCGTCGGCTTGACATTTTCTTTCTCCATTAACAGTAATACATCTGCCATTTTCTTCTTGTCAAGCCTCTTGTAGATGAGTAGCAACTGGTTGCAAGTAAATGGTGTGACTGGGAATTCCAGGTCCTTCATTTTGTTGAAAATTTCTTCAGATTTCTTCAAATTGTGGGTAGAGACAGCGTTTGCCAACAGGGTTCGGTAAATTACCTCACCTCTAAAGGATGCTGGGATTGTCTCAATGTATTTCTCTGCCTTATAGAGGCCACGTACTTTGGCAATTAAGTCAACGCGAGATGCATAATCTCTTTCAACAAATTCAATCTGCTTATGTTCCTCCAACCACTCTGAAAGCTGCAAAGTTGACAAAGCATCACACAATATCAAGGTTCCGTGACCACGAATTCATGCTTTTAAGGAACTAGGAAGCAAATACAAGAAAAGAAGATGCACTTGTGGTCCAAGAATATTACTACCATTCTCATTATATATCTATTGAGAAAACAAAACTGAACAGGAAGTAAAACTATGAAAAATTTGTTCTGGTTTAAATCAAACTATAAGATAAACAATGGGAGCATAAGCGACCAAATGAGAATGCCATAGTCATTTCAACATAAACCACAGAATTTCATCAAAAGTATCTGACAATTCATGACTTCAATGCCGATTTTTCTTTATCTGCCATAAAAAATTAAGAAAAAGGACTCAAAACGATAAAATTAATGATGTCACCATTTAATTTATCAAAGCGATAAACAGAAAGTCTATTAACATAATCAGTACTTATATGCCATTGCATTTCGCAACCCAATTGCACTTTCTCTCGTTGCAGGGGGTAATCATACATTTTCCTTTATAGAAACGAATGAAATACTCAATAGTCAGTACTAGAACCAGAAAGCACAAACCACATTCAACATTTGAAACCCTCTTTGTAAAGCAAATTACAAGTGCTAAAAATTACTGTAAACCGATGTAGACAATAATTGTTAAACCATAATGTCTTGAACATAATAACTAGTCCTCAAGACTGTATGACAATGATATAGTAAAAGGAAAATAACGTGAAACATGTGAGAAGCAAAGACTTTCACCAGACTCTGAAACAATAATGGATTTAATGGGACTATGAAATTAGAATTTAGACAAAAGTTTAAAGACAATGGTAGAAAATATATTAATCATTAAAGGTGACATATCTTAAGAAAAAGAAAGAGATTTTGGAATTAAGGACATGCTCAAACCAAACAGGGAAAGGGCAATAAGTCAAACTTTAAAAGTAAAGGTTCATAAAAAGTTCTCACTTTGAGGATGGATGATTCTAATAGTAATAGAAAACCCAGCCATGCCGTGCTACCTTCTGGTTACAAGTCCTCTACACATTCATTTTTGGGTCTGAATCCTTTTTACATACAAAAGGGCTGAACTTAGGATTATTTTCTAATAATTGATAGATTGAAAGTAACACTTCTGTTAACTTTCCAAACATAAAGATCACGAAATCGAAGTCTTGCGAAGATATAATGATTTATGAATATGATAACTCATCTGTTGGACACAAATACTTAATCTGTAAATGGACATGTTCGAGACAAAAACCATACAGTCCATTGTCTGTTTTACTTAAAAAACAAAGAAAATCCTGGTAAGCAAGAACTAAGTAGACCTGATGGAGTAGCTACAGCTTGGTTAGAAAAGCACCCTCTTTGGAAGCCTAAGAATAAGCCCATTCGGCCAACTCAAAAATTAAAACATTTGCGTCGAAAGGGAAATATCCATGGTAGTGCAAGAATCAGGAAAATAATGAAATTAATAACTGAGTCAAGAGTCTATTAATTTGGGTCTTATGAAAACACAGTGTCTTTAAGTTTTCTAGGATTCTCCTATGATTTTAATATTTCAGTGAATCATTTGCTATTTGTAGAAGTCATTGAACGTTCTATTTGAAGCCTAAAAATACGGCTATCTGTTGTGAGCAGATCAGACTGGAATGAATGAAAATTAAAGGCTTGCGGAAGGCTTGGTGCTTGGTGTGTCTTTTATCTTCTTCTCTCTCTTCTTTCTAAATTCTTCTTGATAACTCTGCCTTCTCTAAAATTACTGCAATCTCAACCTTCTTGTTCTCTATATATTTTATTTCTCCAAATTTCTATCATTCTAAACCCACACCATACTCAAACACTTACCCTTGTACTGTCCTGCATCAAGACCTGTTCAATATTTACAAACATACAGAACTAAGACTAAAGATTTGCATTATTATCTGAGATGTATAAGTTTTTTGGTGGAAACAATATGTGCATGGTGGTAGGGAGACAAGCTGTCATGGGCATATTTTATGTTGGTGTGAATGGAGAGGAGTTGAAGAATTTTTTAGTGACCATGGGATGAGGAGGTGGACCTTCCATGGGATAAAGTTAGTTTTCGGATTTCCCTTTAGGAGTTGTACCTTTAAAGGCTATAATTCTATGATTGGATTTCTGCTGCACACTACTTTTTGTTGGTCTTTTGCAATGTAAGGTTGGTTAGTCTTTGTTAAATTGTTTAGCCCGCACCTTCTACTAGAACATTGTACAACTTGTCCTCTGTATTATTCTATTATTTTACAATGAAATTCTGTTCCTAATAACTTGTACTCTGTATTATTCTATTATTTTACACTGAAATTATGTTCCTAATAGAAAAGAAAAACCAAAGTCTAAAGACAATATATTATGTACCAACACGTGGAACGTAACATTTTGGACAACAGAAAAAGACCAAGCCCTAGCTATACAAAACATTTTTGGATATTTGAGTTTGATGCAACTGCTATATTTAACAAATTCACACACAATGCTGCAGGAAGGCTCACAAAGCAGCAGCTATGTTCAGATATGTCTCTTCTGTGATAATCAGCTATGTTGTGATATATGTATAGTATTATAGTATATACACTAAAATCCAAAAGGATTTTGACAGAACAAATTTATGCAGCTAAGACCAAAGAAAAATCATTGATATTATTGTCTAATTATCAACATCTTTATGTATAGATAGAAATAAAGTCAAATCACCTGTAATGCCCTCCCAAACATTAGACGCTTGCGAAAATTGAACATGGCCAGCGATATCTCTGCCCTATTTAGATCATTTCCTGCTTTAACCCACTTATCAAGAGCTCCATGAACAGAGAACCCAGGGAAAGCTAAAATGGCCTTGAACAGTGCTGAAACATTCCTTTTCCTTGGTGATCTTTTCTCAGTTGAATCAGCCCCATTCTCTGACAACTCCAATTCATGTTGAGAAGGCTCAACTTCTTCTTCATCTTCAGAGAGTTCTGGTTCAGAAATTAATTCATCTTCATGTTGGGAAGCCTCAGCACTAGGTAGTGTTTCTAGTTCAGAAAACCCATCTTCCAAGTCATCTTCCTCTCCACTGCTTTCTGCACCAGCTTGTGAAGAAAAGCTGCGTCTATCCACTGAGAAGTTCCAAGAAACTTGTGTTGTGTAGTATAATCTCTTGGATGACAGGCATCCATCAGGCATTGATTTACAGGACTCATGGAAACAAGCATCCTCTTGTCCGTAGGTAATTGGTAGCTCCAAATTAGCACAACATGCACGAGAACTTCTTATGTTAAATGCTTGGTTCCTGGCCGTAAAAGGAAAACTAAGTATCACATTATATCACAAAACAAAATAATAGGCAACATAACGTAACCAAAAAATAAAGAATTTTACTAGCACACAGCCTGGAAAAAAGCAAAATGAAATAAATAAAAATAGCAGGGCATATATACTAAAAATGATATACATTATAAGATTCATAAGATGGTAATGGGAGTCGAGCTTCTACTAGTACAATCATATTATGAATTCCTGTGAGACAAAAGAAAGATAACATTGTATCTTTAAGAAATATTACAGAAACGATGGTAACTTCTCTGGTTGTTATTCTCTATATTAAGACATCCAGAGAGATACAACATCAGAAATTATGTTTCCATATCTCATAATCTGTAAGACAATTTTTAATAGGGTAGGATAAAAAGAAACTAACTTTCCCAGTCTCCTTCACTCCATGAATTCCATTATTTTTCCTCTGATTTTGTATTTGCTTCTAGAAAGGTAGCATGTAGAAAACATTTATTTTTAATATCCTTCAGAAAATTCTCGCTTTCATTTCCGATAGGGTTAATTAATTGCATATACAAGATAAACTAACACTAGTAAACAAAATTCTAAAATAAATAAAATAAAATAAAAACACAGACGCCCATCATCCACGCTCTTAAGTAGGAAGACCCTAAAACCTGTGAAACCCATAGTTTAAATTCCGTCCCTTAAACCTTTAAAACTACTACGATGAACACAGGAACCCTAGAACGAAAGAGGTAAATATATACCTGAGAGGAAGAGAAGCACGACGAAGAGCCCACATGGCGACAGTAAGCCAATCAGAAACCCCTAGCAGGGAAAATGGAAATGGCGGTGCTGATTTAAAGAAAAAACGAAACCTCAGCTCAGAACCTGACCCTCTCTCTCTCTCTCTCTTAAACCCTAAACCCTGTTTGGTGGGCTGGCTTGGACCGTATAGTGAGCTTCCATATTAGTAAACTAGTAAACTATATAGTGAGCTTAGCTCCCAAGAAATTAACACTTACCCATTTTTGCTTTGGGTAAAAAAAAAAAAAAATTCATAAAAACCCTATGGGCAGGAGAGAACCAAATACAGAGCCCAAATATGAGAAGGCCGAACAATGAATGAAAACAAGGTTAGCCCAAACGGATAAGGCCCAAACCAGACAGAAAAGAACCACTCCAAAAGCTAAAGACGAAGGTACTCTTCTGTTCTTCCCTGACGCACAAGAAGGAACTCTTCTGCTGTTCCTTCACGCACAAACGTTGATCCAAACAGACGAATCTGAGAGCACGATTATTTTGACGCACAGCAAAGCATTGGTGAGTCCTCTTCTTCTGTCTTCTATTGCTTCGTCTTTCTTCTCCTCAATCAAAAGCTTTGAGAAAGAAAACCCTAGCCCCCTTTTCTATTTTGTCGAACCAGGAAGGAGACAGAGGGTTGAGTTTGGGGTTAGGGTTTTGGGTATGTGTTTGGGCCTTATAAATTGCCTTAACGTGAGCTGAGTTTTAATAGTTTCATTTTCCATGCTAACCTAATGTAATTGGTGCTGTCAGGTGGTAGCCATCATGGATTCAAACTTCGACTCTCCACCCGCTGCAGACGGTGGTGATGCAAAAGCAGCATTTCGCAAGCCTGCAACTGATGCAGCCAACAGGAAGTACCGGCGCCGTTCTCCAGTTGGCGGTTCATCTCCCTCTGATGGTCAGTTTTCCAAATTTTTTGTTTCCATTTTCACAAGTTAAAATGGTGCTGAGGATTTATCGAAAGGCTTTATTTTTATAGTGAATTTGACAATTTGACTTAGCACTTGCTTAATGTATAAGTGGTGGTGCTGATTCTACTTACTGCTCTGCATATTGTAATTTGATGCTTGAAGTTACTAGAAGGACGGTTGAATCAATTGATTTCTTTCTTTCAAGTTTTCATTTTTATCAAAATGTATGCACAGTCGGGTAATCTAGTGGCTCAAAGGTGGAATGATATGGTTTTTTTTTTTTTTTCATTTTCGAGTCAAAATATGGGTCATTGTAAGAAGTCTGTTGGTGTCGTGCAAAAAAAAAAAGTTTCCATTAACATTATTTTTTTTTTCCAGGGAGTCCTATGCATGAGCATAACTGTAGCCCAAAAAATTCAAGGCAAGACCCTGGAAAAGTCTCTGAATATCAAACAAGAAGGAGAGATGATGAGAGGGAATTAGAGAGGGATTCAAACAGGAGGTATTATGGAAGAAGCAGTGATTCCTACCGGCATTCTGATAGACAATCCTCCAAAAGTTTGCATGGGTACTATAAGCATGATGACTGCATCAAACATGACAAACATGCTGATGAAGAAGATAAAAATTATCAGAAGTTATCTTCTCGTTCTGCTAGGGAGTCAAGAGGTAGTGCTCATTATGATCATATTAGGTCAAGAGACTATTCAAGAAATATGGACAAATATTCTCGTGATAAATATGATGGTTCTGGATATAGGAACAAGGATAAAGATAGAGAATCTTCATTTCCTGAGAACCAGAAATATAAAGATAAGGACTCATCATCTCTGAGAGTTGGATCTGGCAGGAGACATGGACATTTTGAAGAGATGGAAAGGGAACGAGACAGGCATGCATTGGACAGAGATGTTCAGGATGAGAAAAAGGATTACCGTAGGAATTCAGGTGATTATATAAGCGAACGGATTTTCTCATATGAAGAGTCCAAGGGGCAACGAAGTGACTCAATTTCCAGGAGAGATGAAGGTAAACATCGCATGAAAGAAGGTTACAAGAGTGAATTAAAGGAATTGGATGATGATAACGTTTCCAAAGAGCAAAGGAAGAAATATGATGATAAGGAAACTAGTAGGGGCAACCGAATTACTAGAGAACCATCAGAGCGGTCTGCAGATAAAGATTATATAAAGAGCGAAAATCAAGAATCTACTGCAAAAAGACCAAAGTTATTTAGCTCAGAGAAGGGCATTGATGGTCGAAAAGATGGTAATGGTTTATTTATGTTTCTGTATTTGATTTTAATCCTTAAAAGTGCTAGTCTAAGTTTGTTCTCCAATGATGTTACTCTTTGTTTAGTTTCAAAGTTCACAACTACAGCGGATGGAAGGGAGTCTTCAAGTTCCAAGCAAGTTCAAGAAGATGAAATGACTACTGCAAAAAGTCAGTCCAATGATGCGGAGGCTGCTAATGATATAAATGCTGCCAAAGTTGCTGCGTTGAAAGCTGCTGAATTGGGTATGTGGTACCTTTTTTAAATATTGCATCCACAGGACAACTTTTGGCATGAAACCAAATATTGACAATATACTATATGATTGTTATACATACCCATACCAAAATATATTATATTGACACATACGAACAACGCAGTTCTGTTAAGTAGCTAAAGGAGCTAACATAAGTTGTTAATCTTAGGTTGTGAGATCTTCTTTTACTAGGATCAATGACTGAAAGTGCAAGTGTTTAATCTTGAAGATTATATACTTATTTTTCCTGTTTTTTGAATTCGTTACTAGCACCTGGGTATGTGCACAGTAGATTTTTAGTGAGGACTTAAGTTGAGGTCTTGAATCTCAGAAGTTAGATTAGATATGAACTGTTGAGATGTATCTCATCCATTTTTACCCTCCATGCATCGATTTGACAATTGAGATGCAATTCCTCAAATGTATTATGTCATTAGGGTACTATGTTATGTACCTTTGGCCCAAGAACAAGGTGTCACGTCTCTTTCTAAAGAAAGAAAAATGTGTGGATGTATGTATGTATGTATGTATTGTTTAATATCGTATTATGATTAGGTGTCATTTTACATCTCTTGGCCCAAGCCTAATGTATTTGGTCTCTTGCTGAAGAAAAAGTAATAGATGCTAGATGAAAGGGACTTTGGGGTAGTTGTCTTTTCTAGATTTGCTGGTCTAAGAGAAAGATAGAGTTGTTTGTCAGGCAAACACAAAGTTTAAAAAAACTCCTAGAAGTACGACTTCAACAAAGACCCAAGTGAAAAAAGTAAATGTATCCAAAGTGCTACACAGAAACAAACTTATCAAAATTTACTGAGAGAAAAGAGAGAAACCAAAGCTGCACAACTAATAATTATGCCCATAAAAATATTTCTCGGTTAAAGTAACCTTGTCGCCAAGGCAAGTTCTGGAAATCCGCTTCAGGTTTAATGAACGTTCTTCATAGTGTTTTCTGTGGTAGTTACCTGGTGCACTAAGGCCTCTGTTATATTTTGTCGGCCTTTGCATCTCTGGGCCCTGTTTAATTTAACCAGGCTTGACCTCTAGGTCCTTCTTGACAAAGTTTGGGAAGGGAATCCAATTATCTTTAAGGTGATAGACATGAAAGACAGTCTTTAGATTGGTGGAAGCAGGAATCTTTAGTTTGTAAGCCAGTGCTCTAATTCTTTCTAAAATCTGAAAAGGGCTGTAACCTCAAGGTGAAAGCGTAAAAGCATTGGCTATCTGTAGGCAGAAATAGACCTAATCTCCTACCAGAAAAACAAGATCTCACCGCTTCTTATCTGCAAAATTTCATGTGCCTTTGAGCTTCATGTAATCGTCTTTAAAATGGAATCAATTCCGTAGTTCTTGTCAACCTGTGGGATAGAGCTTGACCCAGTAACACAGTAACTAAGCTTTGATGGTTTGTGCCCATAAACTACTTCTAAAGGAGAGAGGCTAGTACAAGAATTAACATTAAAGTTATTCCGGTAATCTGCCATAGTAAGATAGTTGAGCCAATCATTGGGAAACAACAAGTTTAGTTACTAAGCATTTTGTTTACCACTGCAGTTTGGCCATAGAGTAAGACAGTTGCTAAGGTGGATCTGAAATGGAGACTTGTTCCTTGGAGTTTGAATAGTTGTTGCTAGAAGTTGTTGGGGTAAATTCTCTATCTCAATGACTTGCAATCATCTTGGGTACTCCTTGAAATTTGGAAAGAGTATCAAAGAAAGCTTGTGCAAGTGCAACACGGGGAGCTCTTTTAAGGATGAGATAAAGCTATGAAATGTGCATCTTTAGAAAACCTATCTAAAAACAGACTTCATAGCTCCATTGCTTGGTGAGACCTCATCTCATCCTTACTAGCTGCACACTTAATAGCTTTTTCTCACCCATACGTCTCTTAGTTATAGCTTGGTAAGATTTTAACTTGGCAATTACATCTGGATGACTGAGGGAATGGTTGAGTTCTTCCATCCTTGTCCGTATGATTTGAGAAACAGAATGTAAGGTTATGTGCTTGGACACTGCATCTGCTCCTGGTCCAATGATCCATGTGGATCTATGCAGTCCTAACCCAAAAGTTTGGAGAGTCACTGTTGTGAAGGTGATGGAGGAATAAGTGGAAACAAACTTTAAAACTTTACCTCAAATAAGTTGTTTGTTCCTGTGGACATCTTGTCCATTGTTTTGTACTTTTCTTTTTTACAGAACTTTTGTTTCATCTATATGTATATATATACACATTCCTTTATGTCTAGGATTGATGGATTGGGTAGATTTTTGGTATTAATATGGCTTGATTGTATGATTGAGAGTCATGAATTACATACCGCATTCAGCCTAGTAGAACTCTATATATAGGCATGAAAGAAATTTGGGGACGTGAATAAATTTAGGCTCAAAGGTGGAATGATATGGTTTTTTTTTTTTTTTCATTTTCGAGTCAAAATATGGGTCATTGTAAGAAGTCTGTTTGGTGTCGTGCAAAAAAAAAAGTTTCCATTAACATTATTTTTTTTTTCCAGGGAGTCCTATGCATGAGCATAACTGTAGCCCAAAAAATTCAAGGCAAGACCCTGGAAAAGTCTCTGAATATCAAACAAGAAGGAGAGATGATGAGAGGGAATTAGAGAGGGATTCAAACAGGAGGTATTATGGAAGAAGCAGTGATTCCTACCGGCATTCTGATAGACAATCCTCCAAAAGTTTGCATGGGTACTATAAGCATGATGACTGCATCAAACATGACAAACATGCTGATGAAGAAGATAAAAATTATCAGAAGTTATCTTCTCGTTCTGCTAGGGAGTCAAGAGGTAGTGCTCATTATGATCATATTAGGTCAAGAGACTATTCAAGAAATATGGACAAATATTCTCGTGATAAATATGATGGTTCTGGATATAGGAACAAGGATAAAGATAGAGAATCTTCATTTCCTGAGAACCAGAAATATAAAGATAAGGACTCATCATCTCTGAGAGTTGGATCTGGCAGGAGACATGGACATTTTGAAGAGATGGAAAGGGAACGAGACAGGCATGCATTGGACAGAGATGTTCAGGATGAGAAAAAGGATTACCGTAGGAATTCAGGTGATTATATAAGCGAACGGATTTTCTCATATGAAGAGTCCAAGGGGCAACGAAGTGACTCAATTTCCAGGAGAGATGAAGGTAAACATCGCATGAAAGAAGGTTACAAGAGTGAATTAAAGGAATTGGATGATGACAACGTTTCCAAAGAGCAAAGGAAGAAATATGATGATAAGGAAACTAGTAGGGGCAACCGAATTACTAGAGAACCATCAGAGCGGTCTGCAGATAAAGATTATATAAAGAGCGAAAATCAAGAATCTACTGCAAAAAGACCAAAGTTATTTAGCTCAGAGAAGGGCATTGATGGTCGAAAAGATGGTAATGGTTTATTTATGTTTCTGTATTTGATTTTAATCCTTAAAAGTGCTAGTCTAAGTTTGTTCTCCAATGATGTTACTCTTTGTTTAGTTTCAAAGTTCACAACTACAGCGGATGGAAGGGAGTCTTCAAGTTCCAAGCAAGTTCAAGAAGATGAAATGACTACTGCAAAAAGTCAGTCCAATGATGCGGAGGCTGCTAATGATATAAATGCTGCCAAAGTTGCTGCGTTGAAAGCTGCTGAATTGGGTATGTGGTACCTTTTTTAAATATTGCATCCACAGGACAACTTTGCTGGACTGCGAAGAAGAGATGGCCGTACTGTTGGATTAGGTCTTTAAGCATCCTCAAATTCCTTCGTACTGTGAAGACATCGGGATATTCTGTTGTACTCTTGTGCAAGAGTCACATTTATGATTCTATGCTAATTTTCTTATTGGGAGTTGTAGATCTTCAAGGCAAAATGGTTTCACATGACAATCTAACATTGTGTAAAGCTAGAAAATTCGATTGCAATATGTTTGGTATGAACTCACGTGCCATTTTCCTATTGCTTTCCAACCATCTTAATTCACGTGCATTTGTTCATCTGCAGTATGTTTTACTCGCTTTACAGCAACTTTGTATGTGTGTGTTTGCAAGTTGGACCCTCTTACAGAAAACAATGTTTCTCTTTGGCGACAAGCCATTAAGGTTTGTTTGATAACTATTTTGTTTATAGGTTTTAGATTTTGTTAGATATAGAGAGCAAATACTGGGGAGAAGAGAGGATGAACAAGGGTGGAAGAAGAGTGGCTGGAAGGAAATGGAAAAAATGCATATGGAATGAGGCAAAAAATGAAAACTAGGTCTACTTTTCTCACCACCTAGTTTTTGCTACACACATTCTCCTCTCGCCACCTTTCTTCATTGCTTATTCCCTAATATACTTTCCCTGTACCTTTAGCAAGAAAAAAAAAATTAAAACTGAAAGCTAGAAACCAAATAGTTATCAAAACAATTCCAATTTTGGTTCATGCATCTTGTTCTTGTAGTTTCAATATTGTCAAGCGTGTAACGATTGCCGGGGTTCAGGCATGGACTCAGTCTGTGGCTGCGGTTGGCTGCAACCCACCTCACTTAGGAGGAACCATAGCTTCAGAGCCCATGTCTTCTCTATTAGGAAGAAACGTACACCACTAGACGAACTGCTAGTTAAGTATGAGTATAATCAGAATGGAAAATGATCAAAACTATAAGGACTTCATGGCAATTTGACCTTTTTGGTCTTCCAACTTTGTTAAAATTGTTGGATTTGGATGGCATGTCGTGGATTGTGATGCTGCAACGGAGGCTGAATACTCCAAAATAATCAACATCCCATTGATATTAGTGACGATGGGGGGCTAATATCACTGCGGGAGAATTCTACTAACAACATTCTTTGTCCTGTTCAGCCTCCATTGTGATTCTGTGAATACCTTAGCCAAAGAAACAGAACAAGGAAGAAAAGAGAAAAAGGTTTTGCATTGTAGCGCTCATTGGTATAATCGCCCTCTCAATTACTAATTTAAACACTCTTCATATGTGACGGTGAGCCTAATATGCGAATAACCTTGTTCTGATACGATGATAGATTTTAAACTTTGAATAGTTGTTGCTAGAAGTTGTTGGGGTAAATTCTCTATCTCAATGACTTGCAATCATCTTGGGTACTCCTTGAAATTTGGAAAGAGTATCAAAGAAAGCTTGTGCAAGTGCAACACGGGGAGCTCTTTTAAGGATGAGATAAAGCTATGAAATGTGCATCTTTAGAAAACCTATCTAAAAACAGACTTCATAGCTCCATTGCTTGGTGAGACCTCATCTCATCCTTACTAGCTGCACACTTAATAGCTTTTTCTCACCCATACGTCTCTTAGTTATAGCTTGGTAAGATTTTAACTTGGCAATTACATCTGGATGACTGAGGGAATGGTTGAGTTCTTCCATCCTTGTCCGTATGATTTGAGAAACAGAATGTAAGGTTATGTGCTTGGACACTGCATCTGCTCCTGGTCCAATGATCCATGTGGATCTATGCAGTCCTAACCCAAAAGTTTGGAGAGTCACTGTTGTGAAGGTGATGGAGGAATAAGTGGAAACAAACTTTAAAACTTTACCTCAAATAAGTTGTTTGTTCCTGTGGACATCTTGTCCATTGTTTTGTACTTTTCTTTTTTACAGAACTTTTGTTTCATCTATATGTATATATATACACATTCCTTTATGTCTAGGATTGATGGATTGGGTAGATTTTTGGTATTAATATGGCTTGATTGTATGATTGAGAGTCATGAATTACATACCGCATTCAGCCTAGTAGAACTCTATATATAGGCATGAAAGAAATTTGGGGACGTGAATAAATTTACAGAAATTTTCAGCAAGCATATGCTTCTATAGGATTATGTGATGCAACGTAACTCCTGTTGTGATGCATACGGTCTCTAGCAATTCTTAAAATCGTGCTAGTGTGATTCTAGTAGCGTCTATCATTTTCTTGTAATTATCTCCTGTCATCCTTGACTTTTCCTGTTGTTCTTTGCCTATAACAATTTGCAGCAACGATAAAAGCCCAAATTAAGCAATATCAAATTTGGTTTAGGTCAATAAATATTTTCATAATTCGGGTTTAGTCAATGAATATTTTATTTTTCAACATAGGTCAATAAATCGATATTTTATTTTCAACTTAAGTCAACATTCCACTTGCCATCTAGTCAAGCACCAACTCCAAGGCAGCAATAATTCCAGCACATTGACCTGGGTGAGGTTTGTTCTTATCACGCGATAATATTGAGTATTAGAAAAATTCAATTAGAATATCTGGAATGTGATTTTTTTTTTCCCAATGAATATGGCATGTGCTAAAGAAATAAAAATTCATTATTAAGTTTGTACACATGTTATTTCCTAACGTGACTGGTTTGCCGCTCTATAGAAAACGGACCACGTGAACAAATTTAGTATGTTCCTTATCTCAGTAAGTATTTAATTTTTAAACAAAACAACACATGTGAGTGTAACACGAATTTTTGCTCCTGTCCTACTCAGTGAAATGGCAATCCATATTTTCTTCACATTCTCACAAATGTCCTGAAAAAGGTGGTAAAACTTGTGAAGTGGAATGTGTTCCTGTAGATTTGATGACATAGCTAAGCTGAGCTGATCCATCTTTGTCAATTAAAAAATCTGTCTCAAGTATCATAATTTTATATTGATGTGACATTCAACTTTGATGAGTAATCAGAAATTGGACACTAAATTATAAACGGAATATAGATTCCCCAGATTTAAACTCCCTGGCTACACGTGAAAATCTGTTTGTGTATATGCAGTTAATAGGAACCTTATCGGTGTTGGCCCTGTGGGATGCATGACTGCTGACCAGAAGAAAAAGCTGCTGTGGGGAAACAAAAAGAGCACAACAGCAGAAGAGGTACCTCCTATGGTCTGTTATTTTTAGTTTCCTCAAATAACACCCCCAAAGTTACAATTCCAACATTCAAGCTTATTATCACACACTTTGCATTTGAAACACTTTCATAGGAAAAATGTTATGTTGAATATAGCACTTGTAAATACCTATCAATTATTATTTTTATTTACTACAAAATAACGGGGTTATGCAACATACAATATCTTTTTTCTTGAACAACACAAAAAATATCCGAAGTCCTTGCTGAGAAAAAAGTGCTATATATTTTAATTTTATTTTGGAACTTGTACACCATTAATGTTATTGGTTTTATTGAGCTGTTGGGTCTAGCTTCTCTTTGTGTAAATTGTTAGATGCCCCTTTTTCCGTTTTTACAGGTTGGCCACCGTTGGGATACAACTTTGTTTCCTGACCGGGAAAGACAAGAAAAATTCAACAAACTCATGGTAAACCTCCATTCCATTTATTTTATTTTGTGTAAGTACGATTAATATAAAATTGAACCTTTCTTTTTTGGTTCCTAAATGACTGGCTTAGCCCTATAGAGTTTCTTCACCTACTAACACAATTTTAGAGTCTGAGGTTGCCTTGGTGCCTATGGCCAATTGTAGGGTGTGAAGGGCGAAGTAAAGGTGGAACAGAAACCCGAGAACGAAGATCAGAAGCAGAAGGAACTCCAAATGGATTTAGAGAAGCAGTACACTCCCACCCACTTCTCTGTACAATTTGGTTCTCCTGCTGGTGGGTTTTCACTGTGTCTGGATGCCATTTCATTTCATCTTAAAGTGGAATTTTAGCTACCCAGCAGCAGCCAGTTGCAGTGTGTGAATTAACTTCTCTGAATTTAAAGGGCCACTCCAAGAGCCTACCCATTAATTCTGGGCAACCTATAGCAAATAACTACATTCTCAACTTCCATTGGTTCCCATAAAAAATTTTAAAAAATGAAAAAAGTTTCATTGCTTCATCTTTCTTTGTCAAATGAGAAAAGAGAAAAATAATAGCTGTCATTTTTACCCCTTGTCTCATCTCCCACATTATATATTTGCATTCACCATTGCTTCACTTGCAACATTTTATGCCAATCTCCAATCAATCAATCAAATGCTTTACCTCCTGATTTCTTTTGTCTCATTCATCCTTATTTCCAAGTCCTTCACTCACAAGCCAATACAATCATGGGAGGGTAAGCTAAAATTGAGTTCTTTTTGGTTTTGGGGTGAGTTATTAAGTTTTCTTGTGTCCTGGTTCCAGAAAAGTAGGCTTGCTATTGATTTGTTCCAACCCATCATCTGCAAATTGAAAAAGATGATGACTTTTAGTTCAAGAGTAGAGAATGTGGAGGAGAGAGACAGTCTCTCTCTCCTGGATTTGCCTGACTTGACCTTGGAATGCATTCTTGAGAGGCTTTCCCCATCTGGGTTGTGCACTATGGGAGGAGTTTGTACTTCTTTGAGGGAGAGGTGCAGAGATGATCGTTTATGGGAGAGGCACATGAAGGAGAAATGGGGTAGACTGATTGGGGCTGCTGCTTATAGAGAATGGCAATTACATGTGGCCTCAAGAAGCAGAGTCAGAAATATCTCTGATCAAACCAAGAAAAAAGGTCTATTTGAGTCTCTTGTCGTGAGTAAAATTTGGCCTTTTTCATGGATCAGACCAAAATTAGCAAGTTCTGATTGCAAAGTGAGGACTAGTTTACCGGTCGAGTCAGTCATGTCTCTGTATCTTTCGCTTGAAAGTGGCAAGTTCTGGTTCCCAGCTCAGGTCTATAACCGTGAGGTATGGCTGCAATTTGATTCTTTGAAGTCAAATTTTTAATTTGCACAATTTTTTTATTTGATGTTGTTTTTTTGTTATTTAACAATTCAGTGAAAACCTTATTTTCTTTTCCTGCAGAATGGTAATGTAGGCTTTATGCTGTCTTGTTATGATGCACAAGTGAGCTATGATTCAAGGACAAACACATTTCAAGCAAGGTACAGGGAGAGTAATTGATGTTAAGATATAAGACTGAACTTAGATTCTGGAAAGGTTTATTTTTGGATGGTCCTCTCTTAAATTCAAATTGGATTCTGTTTTGCAGGTATTCACCTTATGGGAGGAGGGCAACAGAGGATAATATTCCATGGGATAGACTGAGAGCGGCTCCAGTTGATACTCCCTCACATAAGCTTCATGTCTCTGATTGTCTACATGACTTGAAACCCGGTGATCATATTGAAATCCAGTGGAGAAGAAACAAAGAATTCCCTTATGGTGTGTTCCCAAATCCCACCTTCAATCCTGGCTCAATTTTATACTAGAGTTTGAATTTTACTGAAACTCGAGTGTTGGATGTTTAATGGTTCACGATGTGTTAAATGTTCATTGTATGCCGATACTGATTTTCAAAAATTTCCTTTACTTTGTAGACAAATATAAAAATAATTTGAATTTTTATGTATTTTAGGTTGGTGGTATGGTGTCATTGGTCACTTGGAGTTGTGTGATGGGCATGAGAATCGCTGCCGTTGTCACTACAGTGGTGAGAAAATCATTTCAGTTTCTGCAATTCTCATGATTTTTCTACATTTCATTTTCATTACTGGGAAATACGAACTTTTTTCTCATGTCAATAAGTAAACAACTAAGCATAGAGCATGTGATCACATTAATGCCTCCATGTATAAATCTAGGGTATTTAGGATAACCATTCCTCTGAATTGTTTGGAATGCAAGCACTTTCAGCATGGGGTTTCTTTTCATATGTCCTGCACCAGTTTAGACACTTTAAGAAGGTTCACTTTTGCTCCAAATGCTAGAAAAAGTACATGTGAATTATAGCTTTTCACTATGGAATGATTTATTACTCTTTTTAACTGACTCGTGATATGATGCATCCATCTGTTGTGATGATCATGCACTGCCTTTATTTCTATGTTTGTATAATTATGTCCTTTTAGCTGCTACCTTGGTGGCTGACATACCTTTCTTATTCTTTCTATTTTTCCATTTCTGTTAGCACTTTGAGGAGCAATCCTGTTTTAAAACCAAGCTGGCATGTTCATGCCCATGAAATAGTGAACTTGGACTGGATCAAACTCTAAATCTAGACATATAGATGGCCTGAGGCTGAAACTTTCTTCTCTGTTTCTTACAATTGAGGGATTTCCCTTTTTGCACCTTGAAGCGCAATCCTGCTTTGGAAGCAAGGTTGGATGTTCATGCCCATGAATTAGTGAACTTGGACTGGATCTAACTCTAAATCTAGACATATAGATGACCCGAGGCTGAAACTTACTTCTCTGTTTCCAACGATTGAGTGGTTTCCCTTTCTATTTGCACCTTGAAGTGCAGTCCTGCTTTGAAGCAAGGTTGGATGTTCATGCCCATGAATTAGTGAACTTAGAGTGGATCAAATTCTAAATCTAGACTATAGATGACTTGAGGCTGAAACTTCTCTGTTTTTCAAGTTTGAGGAACATGAGGCACATTAATCATGATAAAATCTGAAATCTTACATGTCTAACTAAAGATTTTCCCTAACAGCTAAGCTTTGTTGAATTCAATTTTCTCATATCATCACAACACCAACTACTTAATATTATGCACATATGCAAACACTCATTTAAATGCTTTCTTTGTTTCTACTATTTATTTGTTTGTATATTTGAAGGAAGTAGTTTTCATAGTATGCTTTTCCCAGACTATTTTTCTGTACTGCTGCTGGTAGTTGAAGAAGTTGTTATAACATATAAGTTTCTGACAAAGACGTACTCTTCCTCAACAGATACAGTAACACTGGAGTTCAGTCAGTACACTCCTGGATCCAGATGGAGACAAGTGACGATAAACAGGAAAGACCATCGAGAAGAAGGCAATGAAGCAGATGGCTTCTATGGGGGGATCCGAAAGCTTTACAATGAGGAGGAAATTGCAAGGTGGAAGCGCCTATGGCCTACCCAAGTCCTTGAATAAGCCTTCCACTCTTATTCATGATTGCTCTGTAAATAATTGAGTCCCCCTCCCCCTTTTTTTGTTGCTCTTTAGCTGTGAATGAAGAGCTTAGTCATATAGAAGTCATTCTAAGAGGATGAAAATAATACTCCATGATTTTGTTCCCAGAGTAGGAATCTCTAACAGGCATAGTTGTTGAAGCCCACATCGGAAAATGGAAGCCTTGCATCAAAAAAATTTGGGCCTCGTCACCCAATATTTGTTGTCGGTTTTGAGTTGGATGCTCTAATTCTTATTAGTCACAGTCACATACATGTTATGTAACTCCCTGCTTCACATGTTTCTCATAGTTCACTGGCTAGTTTTTCTGTGTGTTTAACATGCCTCTAAGGAAATATCTTATGTTCTGTTAGTAGAAAACTTGCTGGTTCTCATTTGGACCATACTCATGCGTTCATGAGCTTCCCACAAATGAACGGATGACCCAAGAATTTGAAACTTGTACATGGATAATCTAAAAATGCATATTATATATCTGAATAAATTCGAAATGCATATTCTAGAAGAGTTTATTATTTTGATTTTCGACTTTTAGCTTCTTGTCGAAGTTGTTTCCTTACACTGCACGTTTGGTCTCTCTAAATGAGCTGCCTTTATTCAGAGAAATGAAGAAGGGAATAGGAATGACTTGGGGACATTCTAATTGTCTAGCAATGAAGTTGGAATGATGAACTTCTGCCCCAGAATGAGAGAAAACTTAAAACCTCTATAATTTCCTCAACCTGATCAACACAACATTACAGAGAATCAACATTATAGTTTCTTTCTTTCTTTCCAATATAATGAAGGTATCGGGAACTTAGCTAGGCAGGTGAAGCTTAATATCATTGAATTCCTTTCTTGCTATAGGATCATGAGTTAAACCTTGGAAGGGACTGATTTCGGATGAACCTCATTCTAATGTTTTAAAACGCTAAGACATAAAGCGAAGTATTTTAAAGATTATTTCACCACACGTAAGCCTTGTCCCGTTGAGGCATAAGCCTTGTGTGCGTTGAATTATTATAATAAATATATATTATAATATAATGTAGAAAAATATTCATTGTCATTCATCCATAGGTGCTTTTTCCTCCTTCCCCTTATGTGGAGTTTTTCTTTAGGACTCACACAAAGAGAGCAACGAGGGTTTTTCTGTGTGAAGACTATTATGATTAATTATGAGGGCTTCCACAAGCCATGAGACCTAGCAACATGTCTTGGCTACCAAACTACGTAGAATATTAGAGAACCTATTCAGTTAAAATTATAATGCAATTCGATGGTTCCCTAAGCCTAATTCCATTTTAAGACGGTTTGGTTCGGCCGATACATGCCTAAGCCTAATTCTTTTTCCTTTCACAATTTTTCAAAGTTATTAGCCCAATTATAACAAAAATAAATAAATAAATAAAAATAAAAATAAAAATCACAACTTACTACTTTTTTTTTCTTTTCATTTTCTAGCATATCAAATAATCCTAAAACTCTACATGCCATAAAACTTCATAGTCACTGTAGGTATTATTACAGGCACCTTCATGACTGCCATTACAAATGACAAAGAAAGTGATGATTATCGCACAATTCATAATGAATTGGGTATTATCCCTACAATTCACCTCCCACCTGTCTGATCCTCATTGAGAAAATGTAACATATGTTCACTTGTTATCAGACAAAAAAAATATTGTTATTGTTAGGATGTTGACTATTTTAGGGGTCTTTTTGTTCCAGCAGCCTGACGAATGGGCTTGGGCTGCTGAGAAGAAAAAGAACAAAAACCCCATGTTGCCTGAGTTCAAGATCCATACTCCCAAAAGAGTTTTTTAAAAGGCTTGCTAAAACCTTAGAAGAAACACTTCCAGGTTCTTTTCACTAAGAAGCATGACAAGCTGATAAAGGACTTGGCTTGAGGAGCTTGTGGCATGGGAGCTGAGTCTTCACTAGTTTAGCAATTTGAGAAAGAGAAGCGTGGACTTCTTACAGAGAAGAGAAGAAAAAGTTCAGAGCAAGGAAAGAAGAAAATTAGGAGGATTTTAATGAGAAAATAGGGAGGACAATGGAGGGAGAGGCGTCTAAAGTAAATTCCAGTTTGCTTGACGAAGCTTGGTCGAGCTCTGGAATGGTGTGTGTTTGCTGGGTAGAGGGAGCTTTCTTTTATAGGCGCTCAGGACTCTAATTCTATCAATCTTCCATTCTCACTTTTCCTTCGCTTATCTCCATTCACTCCTTTTGGTGAAATCTCTTCCACCGGAGTGCAGGCCCCTTTGAGTTCCAAGGTTTTCTATATAGCTGGGCCTCCCCATGGGGGTGAGGCGCCACTTGCTTTCTCCCTTGGTTTTCAAACCGGAGCTCGCAGAGGAAAGGAGAGAATGGATGAAGTCATTTGTCCAGTGGGTATTCCTTCTACATACATAGATTTCCTTTGGTCCCTGCTATGGCTCCTCGTTGACCACCTTGGAGTTCTGACGAGGGTGGAACATGATGCTGGATTTTTATAGAGCGCTGGGCTGGGCTTATAATATTGGGTTATTGGTGTTTTCTTTTCCAGCGGCCCGCATGTTTTCGTCAAGCTGCTGGAAGTGGCCTATTTGTTTTTGGGCGTTCTAACTAACATGGGTTTGCCTAAGTGCTACATAAACCTATGGGATGCTCTCCTAAGGCATTGGACCCCAGTTTTCTCTCTCTCATGCTAACCCATGTATTTGGGCCCGGGGAATGGGCTTGAGTTTTAGTGCTCCCAAGTGGCCTAAAACTTCCATTCCTTGGTCCCTCAATGGGCCCTATGAGTGCTCGTACCCATCCATGCCACAACCTTCTCAGCAAGCCCCAGGTAACTACGTGGTTTGGGCCCACTTAAGCTCGTAGCACGGCTTGACAGCATTGCGTGTTTATTTATTGTGCTTGTGCTTGAGTTTTATTGCGCCATAATAAGCCGTGATTGGACCAAATAGCACCGGATAGGTTGGCGAGCGTGAATTTATAAAGCTGGTGTGTTTCTTGGCCCCATGGCTTATGTAGGTGCGTCCTACAATTTCTCTTTATTCCCCGATCGGGCTTCTTTTGCGATTAATTATTTGTGCTGGGCCAAGAATAAGTTTGGGCCTGGCCCTTGGATTTTTGGGCCTCAACAACTATGAATATGGTTGCAATAGGCTTGTAACTCAAGTAGTTAAGAGTATTTTACCTATGCACTTAGACGTCCTAGGTTTGATTCCCCCCTCTCTTCACATTACTTGTGTGAAAGCAAATATTCGCAGATCCTATGTCAAATAATTAATCCAATCAATTTGGGAATTATTTGATTCTTACCATAATTGGGGATTTGATTTTAATCACATCCTAATTAAATCAATCACTCCAAAATTGGGGAAGAATAATTTCTTTTCTTGTGTGGAATTATTCTTTTGAAACCTAGCCTCTGAGGCTCCTATAAATAGAGGGCTACGCACATGGTTTGAGGTACATCTAAAACTTTGCAGAAATCCCCTCTCACAAACCCTAGCCACCACTCTCTCTCTCTCTCTCTCTCAAGGCTCTGACCACCGAGTTCTTCCTAAAAGAAATCTTCATACACTTTGTTAGCTACTATTTTTCCTATACACAGTTGCCCTAACTTAGGCATCAGAGGGCCTTTGGGCAACACCCCCGAGTGTGATCTTTTCACTCCGTGTTGTTTTTGTAGGGAGAAAGAGAAGCGAAGAGGAAGAGGAGATCTCGAGACGAATGTTCTCTAGGGACGAAAGCACCAATTTGTGGGAGTGATTTTCCTCCCTAGAGAATATTCATCTCGAGATCCCTTCTTCCTCTTCGCTTCTCTTTCTCCCTGTAAAACAACATGAAGTGAAAAGACCACAGTTGGGGGTGTTGGCCAAAGGCCCTCCGATGCCTAAGTTCGGTCGACTATGTGTAGGAAAAATAGTAGCTAACAAAGTGTACGGAGATTTCTCTCGGGGAGAACTGGGTGGCCGGAGCCTTGTGAGAGAGAAAGAGAGAGAGAGAGAGTGGCAGCTAGTGTTTGTGAGAGGGGATTTCTGCAAAGTTTCAGATGTAGGTTTAGAATTACTTCAAACCTTGTGCGTAGCCATGTATTTATAGGAGTCTCGGAGGCTAGGGTTTGGGAAGAATAATCCACACATGGAAGGAATTATTCTTCCCAAATTTGGAGAGATTGATTTAATTAGGAATTTGATTAAAATCAAATCCTCAATTATGGTAAGAATCAAATATTTCTCAAATTAATTGGATTAATTATTTGACCTAGAATCTGTGAATATTTGCTTCCACAACTTGTATAAAAATAAAAATAAAAACTCTAAATCTTGTTTATTTTGTTGGTCAATGAAGTTAATTATTTATAGTAAATAATAAAATGTTTCTAATCCAAATTTTTATTTATTTATTACAAAGTGCAATAAAAATTTGGTAACTAAAATTTTTCATTTTATTTTTTATACAAAGTAATAATTTAAACTATCATTAATTTATTTTGGGCATTGATTTTCCTACTCCCCCTTTCTCCACTTACACTTCCTTTTACTTTTTAATTAATATTGTTCTTTCTCTTTCCAATTTTACCCTTACCCTACATTAAGGTTTTCATAACTAAAATTAAGAAAAGTTAACAGAAAATAAAACAGAAACAAAAATAAATTTTGGAAATGGATAGAAATGTAATTATTTATATGCCAAATTCTTTGTTTTTTTTACCAAGTATGTGAGTACTATTTATCTTTGTTGTAGTTAATAGATAATAAATTTTTTGGGCTAACATATTCACAAGTCGAAGAACCAAATAATGCTACTAATCACACTGTCATTAGGAGTTTAGATATGTAGAGAGCAAGGTATGCATAATAGTCAAGAATTTTATTCTTTCATAATGTTAATAAGTGACTGTATATGTCTTCTTATTAAAGGGAATTGTAGGATAAAAATAGAATAAGAAAGAGAAAGAACAAAATTGATTAAAAAATATTAAAAAGCAAAAATAAGTATAAGTGGAGAAAATGAAAATGGGACAATCACTAATTGACGAAAAATGAGATTCAAACTTAAGTGCAAAAATAACAACTTATGATTAATCCAGAAAATTCCAGATAAAAACTCCTATGAGTATTTCATAAAAAAGATAGTTATTCAATTTTTGTCAAGCAAAATTTAAAAACAAAAAGGAAATAGAAAACAGTAGGAAAAAGGAAAGAAGAAAGAGAGTTTGGAA